TCACGCCCAACGCCGAACATCTCATCAGCGCCTCCCGCCAGCTGCAAGATCTGGCCTACGCCCCTTCTTCAGCACAGCATACGGAGGCACTCGTGCGTCATCGAAAACCCCCGCTGCCCATGTCTTAGAGACCCCAGTTGAAATGAGAAGGATGCCAAATGATAAGTAATAGAAAGCAAGCTTTCTAAATATGATAATTTTTAAACACACATAGTGTTTTTTAAAATTACGTATTTCGAAAGCGCAGCTGACTGTAACGCGAATTTGGCATCGTCGAAGCGCGCTAAACGCCCTTCTCTAACTACAAATCGTGGGTTGGAGTTCATTTCCCTCCACCCACGTCTCTCATTTTTCAAACAGCTCATGCAACTCTCCCACCCCCCGCCCCAACACCGATGGACACCAAGGCCGCCGCTTACACAAGAGGACACAAGTGGTACAATATGGGTTAGTGCACACCTATTAGGACTGATAGCTTGACGAATGATTGATAGGAAGTATCAGGACATGTACTAGCACTTATATTGTCTAGCTCGAGGTGCATGTTGTAATTTGCCAGTTGAAATGAGAACGATGCCAAATGATAAGTATTAAAAAGCAAGCTTTCTAAAATTTAAACTTTTAAAAAGGCTTCTAACCCCGCTAACTATCGAACCTGAAGACAATCGCGACACATCTGGCTCAGAGGAGATCGATTCTCGCAGCTTCGGTGTGTGACCGCAATCCTCCTTGATGTCGCAATTGTGACGCGTCCTAAGAGCGGAGCAAGAAGCTAGCATGGCAACGAATTCCCACATAATTCGTATACTAGACTTTGTTCTCCAAGTAAGTAGGTTGTGGAAAGGAGGGATGACTGAGTGGAGAAATTTGGAATCTTGATCAAAAGAAAAGTGTGTGGGTGGAATCAAACCAAGATGGCTAAAGGTATTGCTGAAAGTTTTCAGCTAACGAAAAACTCGATACGGGTACGTTTTCCAAACATGGACTAGGTTGTCCTTGCTACAGATGTGATTGGCTGGATGAAAGTTGACATGAAGCAGGTGTTTCCTCGACGTGGTCAGCCGTCGTCCATTCGGCAAGGAACACTCAAAAGTGCATCTCGTTCGTCCATTAGGATCCAACCCCAACGCTGGGGTGATGATACCCGATGCATATGTACTGTACCAACGATTCGGACTAGGAGTTTTCGATCGGACGGCGCAGGGGTTGTTTCTCGATTGCGCTTGCAGAATTGGGATGTGGTGCGGCCAAGGCCAACCCACCTTCTTGGGAGAATGTTCTAGAGCAATCCCTTCTTGAATGCGAAGGACGCAGAACAGGTGTCATCGCAAGTGTTCTCGCACACAAGAAAACAGTAACCCCGTCACAGCTGTCCACCACTTTCGAGCGTTCATATCGCTCTCTAAAGTACGAAAGAGGGCGCGCGATGTGCAGCTTATCACTCAGGAATGCGCCCTACCAGTCAGATGAGGGGTTCCTGATAAGCTTCGAGTGAGGCCAAGTGAGTACACTCGAGAGACAGAGACAGCAACCGTGATTGAGGGTTAGGGTTGTGGCTGGATGTAGTAGTAGCATGATGATTTCTCCCTCCACTTTCCCTCACTTGTAGTTCTTGCAAGGTGTCTCCGTGCACCAGCACCGTGCTTGTTGGCAGACGGCGAAGTTAGCAGGTGATATTAGGCTGAAAAGACACATTTGCGACTCGATTTCCTTGTTTTGTTCAGTGGTGCGATAGCCTTTTTTCGTTGTCGAGCGCATTCAATCTCTCCGCTGTGCAGGAGTAAGTAATTTCGTCAAACTCGTTCAGAAAACCGGCATTTTTTACTCCATTCAAGGTATTTTGCACTTTCGCCGTTAGCTAATTTTAGATCACCAGAATTGGGTGGTGCGCTAGCGTTTAGCTGATTTTGAGAAGTATTTGATTTTTTTTTACCTTTGCAGTGGCCGGCGTTAGCACAATTGTATTATCGAATGTTTCAGCGTTGAGCCAGGACTAATCTCGACAATGCTTTTGGAGCATGATCAGTGACTACGTGACGTTTTGATATTTTTCATAGGTCAGAAAGCTACGTACATGTCGTCTTACGAAGCAATTTCAAGTTGCTGTACTACTACTCGAAGATCCCGTGTAATATTTCCGGAAAATAGCCTTGCTGCCGAGATCTATCATTCATTCATCGCGGTGAGCGCGTCTCCTGGTATCCGAATCGCCATCTTCGCCGCGTTGGTGATTCCGACGTCCTCCGTCCGCGAGTCGTGCCGCGCCGTTTTTCATCGTGTGCATCGTCCGTTCCGTCCACAAGGCGACTAGATGATCGTGCATTTGGCGACGACGCATCCTGATTAAATTCAGTCCTAGTCAGATCGTTGTCCCGGGACGCTTCTATTCGCGTTACGACGCAGTAGTAAACGTGGATCGACGGTGGCGGTCGGAACGCGAAAGATAGAGACATTTCATAACCAGCGCTGGTAGTAATGCGAACATTGGATGCACGTACGTGGATAGCGCGGCGCGGTAGATGAATTTGATCGTCGCCGTGCGGTGGCGGTGAGGGACGAGGATTATCTTCAAGACGTCTTGAAGTAATCATTCTGCTGGTCCGACCAGAGTCTAGTGTGAATCCACAGTGTTGAAGAGAAGGTGCGACGATTGCACAGTGAAGTTTTTTTTCCAAGATGATTCTAGACGACGAGGAACGACAGAGCCGGTTCCCCCCATCGGCAGAGCACGAAGGTGCGCCGGCTGACGCGGTAGATACAGCTGCAGGTGAAGAGCCGGACGGAGGAGGGGGGAGAGGAAGAGGAGGAGGGGAAGGAGGGGGAGGAGGAGAAAGGAGAGGAGGAGGAGGAATAGGAGAGGGAGGGGGAGGAGGAGGTGAAGAAGGAGAGGCAGCAGCAGCAGAAGAAAAAGGAGGAGGAGGAGGAGAAAAAGGAGAAGGGGATGAAGCATCTCCATCGTCTGAGTAAGCTAGTGCATGTATTCTGTCTGCAGGGGATGAAATTGCATGCGAGAAGCATGAAGCTCTGTATGACGTATTAAAGCGAGAATTATGATGCTAGGATATGATTCCCCTTGCACCACCAGTGCTCCCTTCAGCTCATCCCTCCCTCCTGCCCTTGCTCTACCTTTTACCTGCTCCTTCCCTCCTCGTCTTACCAGGAGCATCTCAAGAGACGACGAGATGGTTCGATCAGGAGGCTTTGTCCTCGTCTCAGGCTGCCTCTGCTTGTTTTGATTCGTCTCAACCTTTTTTCCCCTCCCCCCCCTCCTCCTTTCCCCCGTGCCAGGAGCATCGAAAGAGACGACAAGATGGTTAGATCAGGAGGCTTTGTCCTCGTCTCAGGCTGCCTCTGCATGGACCCCACTGTATGTGCTGGTCCTTGCCTCGCTAGTACGGGCCCCACTGTATGTGCTGGTCCTTGCCTCGTTAGTACGGGCCCCACTATATGCGGCGCGTGCACACTGCTTATGGCTGTAATGGGCTTTGTTGTACAAGTCAGTGAATCAGCGTCGTGTCGCCGTTTGTGTTCAATATCGCTATGTGTGGTCAGTGTCGCTATCTGTGTCCAATGGCGCTGGTCCATTTGTCTTTCCTGTGAATGCACTTACTCGTTTCTTAGACGCTACCAAATATGCCAGGACGATGAATATGTCATGACGCTAGTGAAGATGCCGTGAGGTAAATCAGGGAGGAACAAGGAGCAAAGAGCTTTGTCTCTTGATGGCTGTTTTGAAGCATCCCTGGTGCAGTTATCTCCCTGGTACGTTGCTCTCTCTGTGTGTCCATCTGCCCGCACCTCTCCTCAGATGCTTGCCAATGTCTCGATGGTGGTTGCAAAGCGCACACAACTTCAGGCGCCTAAGAAACACTCTGGTGCTCTTTTCCTCTCTGCTGCCTTGTTCTTTATGTCCCTCTGCCCTCCCCTCTCCTCAGATGCTTGCCAATGTCTCGATGGTGGACGTCAAAGCACAGACAGCTGATGTGAGTGCTACGGTGCTGGTGCTGACTTAAGTGCCACGCTTAGTGAGTTTGGCTTTCTTCGTGACCTTAAACATTGTATAGTATGAGGCGCTGAAAAAGTCCGGGTGACATTCGTTGGCTTACTAAGCCTGTGCCCTGTAGGAATCGGAGTATATGCTTACCAATCCTTTTGATATATTTTCATGTTTATTACGGTGGTTACTCAGGTGCTGAGGCGAATCGAAGCAGTCCTGAAGCAGGCAGGCACCAACCTGGTTCGGCTGGTGAGTGCGTGTGTGTGTGTGTGTGTGCTCGCATGAAGGGTTGCATACATTGAGTGCGGCCTACAAGCATGTTTGGGTTGAGGCGTGTTTTCAGTTTGATCCAGAACTCACCTGTGCGCTCGCCTGCTGAGAACATGTGCGCCTGCTGCTCCATGTCTTCCACGCTCTCCCATTCCCCTCCTTATTCCACCACAATGCCGCGAAACACAGCTGCCAGGGCTCGCACCCATGCTGCTGCCGGCAATTCCAAGACTCCTCCTGCCCATCCCCATTCCACACTGTCACTAACCGTCTGCATCCTCCCTCTGTGTCGGCCTGTCTGTCTGTCTGTCTGTCTGTCTGTCTGTCTGTCTGTCTGTCTGTCTGTCTGTCTGTCTGTCTGTCTGTCTGTCTGTCTGTCTGCCTGCCTGCCTGCCTGCCTGCCTGCCTGCCTGCCTGCCTGCCTGCCTGCCTGCCTGCCTGCCTGCTTGCCTGCCTGCCTGCCTGCCTGCCTGCCTGCCTGCCTGCCTGCCTGCCTGCCTGCCTGCCTGCCTGTCTGTCTGTCTGTCTGTCTGTCTGCCCGTCCGTCCGTCCGTCCGTCCGTCCGTCCGTCCGTCTGTCTGTCTGTCTGTCTGTCTGTCTGTCTGTCTGTCTGTCTGTCTGTCTGTCTGTCTGTCTGTCTGTCTGCCTGTCTGTCTTCCTGTCTCCCATGTTACCACTCCCCTCCCCATCCCATCTCAGGGCCAACGGAACGCAGCAGCCAGGGCTCGCACCCATGCTGCCACCGGCACTCCCCACACTCCTCCTCCCCATCCGCATTCCAGCAACCCTATTTCCACTAATCTGTCCCCCACGTTTTCTCCCATGCCCATCCCCATCTCAGGGCCAACGAAACGCAGCAGCCAGAGCTCGCACCAATGCTGCCGCCGGCACTCCCAACACTCCTCCTCCCCATCCGCATTCCAGCAACCCTACCGCCCCTAACCATCATCCCCACGTCTTCACCCACCATGCCTTCCACAATCCTTCTGGCACCCCCAACGCTCCTCCTCCCCATCAGCATCCCAGCAACCCCATTAACAGTAGCCTCCATCCCCACGTGTACACCCACAATGCCACCGCCAACCATGTGTTTCGCGATCAGCATGGAGTTGCCAATCCGCATGGCAATCCGCATGCCAATCCGCATGCCAATCAGCATGGCTTTTCCCTCGACCATTCTCCTGTGCCGCGCAGTCTTGCCAATCCGCATGGCAATCTCAACAACCCAAGTGACCCTGTGTCACCTAGGGCGTATCCGCATGTGAATGGCGATCCAAGCAGACTCGGGGATCCCCAATCGCATGCGCCACATGATGGAGCACATGACGCACATCAGTCACATGATGATGATCCCACTGCTGCTGCTTACAGGCATACGAAAGTCAGCTATGCATACAGACGTACGACCAACGGCGTGGAGCAGGATGGTAGGGACAGCACAGGTGAACCTGCCGGGAGGTTCGGCATCAGGTCCGGTAATAGGTCCGGTAATAGGTCTGGCACTAGGTCCGGTATGAGGTCCGGCGTTAGGCCTGTTGACGGGCCTGTGACATGGGAAGCGGGCAGTGGTGCGGCTGATGGTGAGTGTGGTGGTATTGGCGGTTATGAGCGGGATGGTATGGCTGGTGCTGCCGATGCAGATACATATGGGGGGGATGATGATGCATGTGCAGCAGAGGATGATGCATATGGGGAGGATGATGGATGTGGGGTAGAGGATGAGGAGGATCCATGCGGTGAGGATGACGAGGCATGTGCGAATGACGAAGATCCATGCCAAGCCATGGATGCTCCATCATCATCAACCATCCGCCCTCGCTGCTCCTCGCTCCCACCTCCCTCTGCCCAACCTGCCACTGTATCTGTATTCACTACTGTCCATGCTATTGCCGGTGCTACAGCCCTTGCTACAGCCGGTGGTGCTAGGACCCGTCGCGTTTCGTCTGCTGCAACAGCTGCCGGTACCGGACGTAACAGTAGCCGGCTCTCAGGCGGTTTTCCAGGTGGTTTTCCAGGTGTTTTTTCAGGTGGTTTTCCTGGGCCTTCTGGGACGTGCTCTGCTCCTGTGACACCTGTTTCGTCTGCAGCAGCAGTCCGCTTCCGTCCGGGCTCAAACGCCCAAGATGTAACTCCAGATGTAATCGAGGATGCAACGGCAGATGTAACGCGAGATGTGATGCCAGATGTAACACCGCTGCCGCCTGCTCTACTGACACAGCTGCAAGAATTGGATGAATCTGAAAGGGTAGGTGTAGCAGTGAGGCCTGCATTGGCTGATGATACTGCTGCTGGTGGTGCTGGTGGTGCTGATGGTGGTGCTGGTGCCGGTGCTGGTGCTGGTGCTGGTGCTGATACTGGTATTGGTGCCGGTGCTAGTACCGCCGGTGCTGGTGATACTGCTGCCGGTGCTGTTGGTGCTGCAGGCGTTGATGGGGTTGATACTGCTGCCGGTGCGCGTGGTGCTGCTGGCGTTGCTGGTGCTGGTGGTGCTGGTGCTGGTGGTGCTGGTGATGCTTCCGGTGTTGGTGGTGCTTCTGGTGCTGGTGCTGCTGGTGCTGCTGGTGCTGGTGTTGCTGATGCCGGTGCAGCATCAGCAGCAGGAGTAGGTGCAGGTGCAGGAGCAGGAACTGCAGCAGCAGCAGCAGCAGCAGCAGCAGCAGCAGCAGCAGCAGCAGCAGCAGCAGCAGCAGCAGCAGCAGCAGCAGCAGCAGCAGCAGCAGCAGCAGCAGCAGCAGCAGCAGCAGCAGCAGCAGCATCAACATCGTCATCAGCAGCAGCCGCAGCAACAGCAGCATCACCAGCCGAGCAGGGATCAGCCAGGGATGGACAGGAGCACTTGCTGCATCAGCAGCAGCAGCAACAACAGCAGCATCAGCAGGAGCAGCAGCAGCATACTGGTGCGGAAGGTAGCACCCCTGAAACTGCAGCTGGGGGTGAAGGCACCACGCCCGAAACTGCATTCAGTGAGCACAACCCAAGCAGAACTGCCCCCACTAGGGAAGCAAGGAGTAGCCATGATGACCAGTCACTCCCTCTTGCTTCTCCTCCTGATGCTTCCAGCAATGCTTTCAGCGAGAACCCCATGGCCTTCAGTGGGAACAACGCCAACAGGCAAGAAGATCCCCCCGCTAGCAGACGGGAGTCTAGAGACCACTGGGCTGTTGAGAACACCCAGACCTTAAACCCTAATACTGAGCGTCCCCCATCTGCCTCCCCTGCAAAGGCTGTTCCCTCGCCTTACCCCGCTGCTGGGACTGCCTTAGCCTCGCCCCTGGGGATGCGTAACTCTCCTATGCCTGGGAAAGCATTCGCCCGTTCTGTCTCTCCAGGGAGTGTGTTCCCCCCTCGTGCCCTTCACAAGGCAACGATTAGGCTTGTTGGGATGAAGAGAGACAGGGAGGAGGAAGGGGAAGATGTGGGTGTGCCAGTGGGACCGATGGTGGGTGGAGGGGGGAGGGTGGCGGAGGTTACTGTGACTGTATCCGCTGTTCCTATGAGGAAGTATATGAGGAGTGCGATTGGGAGGGAGGGGGCCGGGGAGTGGGATGGGGAGTGTGAGAGGGAGGATGGGGGAGAGGAGAGGAGGGAGGAGGGTATGGAGGAGGGGAGTGAGGATGGGGAGGAGGAGGGGAGGGAGGAAGGGAGGGAGGAGGGGAGGAGGGAGGAGGAAGGCAGCAATGAGCATGAGCTGGGAACAGCAGCAGGGTTGGCAGCAGTGTCAGGAGCGGCAGCGGCAGTGTCGGAAGCAGCAGCAACGGTGACGGCGCCAGCAGCAGCAGTGCCTGCTGGTCTTTCCAGGGGGGATGTTGATGCAGTAGCAGCTGCTAGTGGTAGTGGGGTTGGGAGGGATGTTAACTATGCTAGTGATAGAGTAATGACTGGTGGTGGGGGTGGAGGGGAGGTGATGGTGCTGAGCTGTACTGCCATGGTGCCTAGTGATAGAGTAATGGATGGTGCAATACCTGCTACTGCTGCCTGTGCTCCTGCTTCTTCTTCTGCTGCCGCTGCCGCCGCCGCTGCCGTTGCTGCTGCTGGTGCTGCTGCTGGTGGTGCTGCTGGTGGTGCTGCTGGTGCTGCTGGTGCTGCTGCTGGTGCTGCTCCTGGTACTGCTGCTGGTGCTGCTGCTGGTGCTGGTGGTGGTGGTGCTGGTGGTGCCGAGAGGGCAATGGTGGTTAGCGGTGTTGCAAGCGCTGTTGCTGCGAGTGGTGGTGTTGCTGTGGGTGCTGGAGGGGAGGTGGGGGCGGAGGGGAGATTCATGTGTCTTGCGCCTGGGTGTGAGAAGACGTACAAGAATAGGGATAACATGAACAAGCACTTCGCCAAGGTACGTTCACATTCACATTCACACCACAGCAAGCGCTGCTGCTGCGAGTGGTGGTGTTGCTGTGGGTGCTGGAGGGGAGATTGGGGGCAGAGGGGAGATTCATGTTCCTGGTGCCTGGGTGTGAGAAGACGTACAAGATTAGAGAAAACATGAACAAAGAAGGCGAGAGCTTGAGATAATTTGAAAACATTTGTCCTCCTCTTTCCTCCCTCTCCCTCCTCCCTCTCCCTCCTCCCTCTCCCTCCTCCCTCTCCCTCCTCCCTCTCTTTCCTCCCTCTTCCTCCTCCCTCTCTTTCCTCCCTCTCCCTCCTCCCTCTCTTTCCTCCCTCTCCCTTTTCCCTTGCCCACTACCCTACCCACAGGTGCACAGCAAGACGGCACGCCTGTACGAGTGCAACTTGCTGCGAGTGGACGGGTCCTCTTGCGACTTCAAGACGCATGATGCGGGGAAGATGAGCAACCACAAGAAGTACAGCCTGGCGCACAATCGCAGAGAGGACTTCAAACACCCCTGCGAGTCATGTGGCACTCGCTTCCCTCGAAGGTGAGTCAGTGTTGGTTTAGGCGACTCGTGGGGAAGATGAGATGAGCAAGGTGAGATGAGAAGGTGAGTCAGTGCTCTTGTAGGCGACTCATAGGGAAGGTGAGATGAGCATTAAGCGACCACAAGAAGTTTAGCCTGGCGCACAACCGAAGGGAGGACTTAAAACACCCCTGCAAGTCATGCGGCACGCACTTTCCTCAAAGCTATGCTGCTCGTAGGCTTCCTGGAAATTCCTGTGGCTGCAAGACACATGACGTCTCTGCCCCCCCCCCTTCCGCCCCTGTCTCTCATCCCTCACTCCTTCCCCTCCCTAGCACAAG